TGAAAGAAAAAAAACCCCTACTTAGTATGCCAAACAGCAGAGCCGGACTATGTGCTGGATTAGTGAGTTAAACTGTGTAGGCAATTTTGTATGCAAACAATTAAAAATAAGAAGACTAGCTATTATGAAAAGTTTCCACACAAATCGCTTAAACATCGCACCAAAGGGCCTTCAGACAGTAAATCGTAAATTATTCTAAAAAATTACATGCATAAGTAGTTGCTGAGTATATTTAAATATGTGCACATATACTTATACTCATACATGCATACGTATGGATGGTGCTTATTCAAAGCTGAAAGAATAAGTTAAAAAATTGGCCCATCAGTTTTGTAAGGTTTTTGCCTAAAAGAACGCGATTTTGTAAAAAATTGCACAAGCTTTTACAAGTTATTTGCATAGCGAACAGAACTCATGTACCGTTGCGGTCATTAAGATAGTAGCAACGCATGAACAATATTTAACTGTATATAGAGCAAAATGCTGAACACCCTCTACAAAAAAAAATCTAAAAAATCAAATGTAAATTTTAGTGACTTGAGACTTGCACTTTACTGCATTAAAATTGAATAGGCTACTAAACTCCATACTCTAAAAATTGTGAAAAAAAATTTTGAAATTTTTATGAATTTTTTTTTTTTTTTTTTTGATTTTTGTAAACTTTGTGCAATATTTGAAACTTTTATTCATGTTATTTCTGTGATTTGGGTTGACCGAACTATATTTTAAATGAAAATTATTAAAAATAAATAAATAAACATTTTGCCCTTTTGCTATCTAATTGACCGCAGCTGTATCTTTGAAAAAAAAATCTTTAAAAAACTGCCGAAAATGTTGCTCCATAGCAAGGCTTATTGCATTGGTTCATACTATATGCTTTTGTAGTTAGATATGCTTACACATACATATAAACAAATTTATATTAAACATTCACTTTTCTCTACTAAATCCCGCCCTCCCGCCACATGCAGCTCACCTATTGCTTGTGGCAAATGCGGCTGCGTCTTAATCCAGTGCTGCAGTTCGGCGACAAGCTCGTCCAACTCAGGCTTTACAACCATTTTGTTTAATTATTGTAAAACAATAAAACAACACAACGATAATTTTAACACAATTTTCGTATTGTTTAGGAAGTTCACACATTTATTAAAAAAATATATTAAACTAAACTGGCGTTGTGTTTTTTTAGAGAGAAAAGTTATAGTTCAATTATTGCGCTTCGAATTTAATTGCTTTTTATGCTTTCACAATGCAGATAATTAAATGCCAGTTTTGCCGCTACAAATCTTTGTCCCCAAACTGAAATTCGCGCGACACCTCCTCTGTGCTAGAGATGAGTAAATCCAAGATACGAACTGCCGCTCACCAGGTACTCGCAGCGACTGAAAGCGCGTCCCAGCCAGTTGAGCTAATATAAACAGAGCGGTAGACTCGTGCTGGACGGTGGATTTGCCTACATACATACTTATTTACCCACATACATATGCATATACTTTCATACATCTTGGCGAAATGCGCACTAAGTTTAAGCCACATTCTGTGCGGTTGGCTAAAACGCTGTCGTGCCCATCGCGAAACTGCAAATGCAGTTACTACATTGGTGATGTGCTGTATGCCACCCTTGGCCGGCCTCCTCGGCACATTGGTGGGTAATGAAACAATGGTTACCATTTTCTTGTTTTTTTTTTTACTTATTTTTCTTATATTTTGACAAATTTATTGTACAGCACTTTGCATACATTCAATATGTATAGTTGCACATGCAACCTATGTACATATAAGCGACAATGTTGGCGTGACATTTAATTAGGTGCTTGTTTATTGGTGACATTGAAATTCGGCGATGTTGTCGTCACGCATGCGCAATTGCGTCCCATCTGCCAAAGAGTCGCCAAGCTCGTGTGTACGCATCAATAACCAAGCAGTGGGAAAATTGACTTTGCTATTAATGAGTAGATTATATTCTCACAGACGAAATATTAAATGAGTGATAATAAGATAATAAGCTGAGTCTTCAAATGGCCGATTCTTTTTGCAAGGCTGTTGGCTAGTGAAGTCGACCTTTTCAAAAGACAACTGAACAAAAAACTTAAACTTCTTAGGAAGTCCATTTAAACACAATTTTTTGAAAATGCCTGAAAGGCAACACATATAGTCATGTGAAAAATAATAGGGGCATGACATTGTGACCATTTTTGACTATTTTTCTTTTGTTTGTTTAATGTTTATTATTTTTTATAAAAACACAGCTCATTATCTACCAAAAAATCACATGAACCCAATTTCAAACTTTGTAGAAAAGTGTGAAAAAATAACAACAAAAAGTTTTAGGCGTGCAGTTTCATAGCCCATTAAATTCCAGCTTAATAAAGTTCAAGTTTCAAGGGACTAAGAATTCGCGTTGATTTTTCATAATTTTTTAGCGCTGGTGTTATATTTAAAGGTTTGATTAAAAATGAAGCTATGTCTAAAGTTAAGCATTTTTATTGTCGATTTTTATTATTTTTCTTGGTTGTAAAGCAATTTAAACCCGATAATGAAATGCTTTATGTACTTTAGACACAATCAAAAATTTTAATGCAATCTTTAAATATAAAGTGAGCTTTAAAGTTACAAGTTACTTGAGAAAACGGCCCTTGGATTTTTATTTTTTTTTAATTCTCAATAATACAAAGTTTATAATCTTCATAGAAATATTAAAAAAAATTTTAAATTTGTGACTGGTGGCACATGTCCTTATGACTGGTGTGAAGCAATTATGCATAAAAAAAAGATTGCTGAAATGTAGTCATTTAAAAAGAGGTTACTACTGAAATAGAGATATTAGGGCATATTTAAATTTATGTCGTTTTCCGCTTTTACATGGATTGGCCCATAAAGTAACTTAAGGTGTGTCGAAAAAAGCTCGATGCAAAAAAATTGTAAAAAAGTATTTTCTGGTTAAAAGCAGTTCATAATACCAGTGGCAGAAATAAAAGAAGTGCCTTATTTAGACCACTTTTGTCTATGTTTCTTTTGCTTATTCAATATTAATTTTTTTTTTAAAGTAAACCCCATATTACATATAATTAACGGCATATAAATTCATATTTTTCTGACGTCATGATTTTTTCTAAAAGGACTTTATAATTTTAAAGATGTGACTAATTACAAAACTTATTTAAAAAATTCAGTGAAATGTAGAACAAAAATATGGGTACCAAATGAAAGAAAAACACCGGTAGAATTTTTTGGGTTCACAAGGACGAATAGGAATTGCAAATGCCCCTTTAATCTATTTTATTTTTTGAAGCTAATAAAGTTAGTCCTTAACACATAATTAAGAAAAAAAATTGAAATTGATATTCGAAGATAAAATTATAAAAAAGGGTATTTTCAATACTTAAACGTCCCTTATATAACAAAAAATTTGATATGTTTTAACTCTACAGAATTTTCTCTTTAATTTGATACCCATACTGGTTTTCTAAGTACATTGCACTGAATTTTTTAAAACGTTTTTTTTAATTACTCATATCTTTAAAATTTTAAAGTTCTTTTAAAAAATCCTGAAGTTCAGAGAGAAAAGCTAAGAACGCCATTTTGGTATATTTGGCCCTTGGTTTCGCGAATATATTGATTTTTTTTTTTGTAAATTACCTGTCGCAATATGTATATATAATGAGCATTTACATGTAAATATAAAAATATTATTATATGTTAAATAAACAAAAGAAATATATCCAAAACTGGTCAACATAAGGCGTTTCTATTATTGCCACCAGTGTAAATTAAAAAGCCGGAAAATACCGGGATTCTAGGCAAATAATCCCTGGATTTTCGAACTTAAAAAATATCGGGATCCCGGGATTAACATTCTTAATGTACATAGTACATATGTACATTCGTTTGCATCCGATTTCGTAATATTCGATTGCTAATTTAGAATTTTTGCTACTTTCAGATCTTTTTATTTTTTCCCTGTTAATAGTGCTCTAATGATTCTAACCACTTAGACCAGGACAAGGTGAATTCAATAAGGTGGTGTTGGAGCGACAGCTGAATTTTTCGCCATAGAAATCATAACGTCAAAATCGTTTATTTGTTGTAATTCTTACTGTCATTTTGCGTATGATTTGTTAGTGTAATTTTTTACTTATTTACCGCTAACACCACCTTATTAAATGCGCCTTGGACCAGGGGCTGGATTCCATAACTGTGAACTTTCGAGTGTGCATTGAAAACTTTGTACAATCTTCTTTTTGCGGTTCAGGAAGTGTGAGAATGAGTTTTGACTGTCAAACTTGTGTGCTCTACTCTTCCGAAAAACTCAAAGCATTTGATTCGGTGAGTTATTGGTTGTTGTTGTTGTAGCGGCACTTAAGCCCCGCCTATTTCGATTTGTCCTTCAATCGTTGTCAAGCTCAATTAATGGTAGGCCCATTAAACACGCAGTTTCGTCGGGGTCGGACCAAACGGAGAGGGGTATTTGTTGAGTGAAATTGAGCTGGAATGTGAAGAGGTGGTTGGTGTCGTGCGGGGAGTCTCCACATGCCGGACACTCATTGGGTATATTGGGGTCAAGTCACGCGTTTTTCACTCTGTCACACACAATTTTCTCACAGCTATAGAATCTAGCCCAGGGACTAAAAATCGGAAAATGAGGTAGTGTACACAATTTTGGCGGTGAAAACTCGTTCTCACACTTTCTGTATGACGCTTTTTTAAGCTTTTTATAGGTAGTCAACTGGTGTCCAAGTTAAATTAACATTTATTATCCTGCTGTTGTTTTTGTTGTATGCGTGTGCTGATATAGAAATGAATTTGAAATTGTTTTTAAAATGTGTAATTTTGTACATCAATAATCCGTTTCCGCTGTCCTCAGCGCCATCTCACTGTTCAGTATGGCAAGTGCTTTCCATAACCGATTTTTGGTATTTTGTTCCCAACCGATTCCGGTCATTTTGTTCCCAAAGAACAGTTTTAGTGCCACTGTTATCGAAAAATCGCAAAAAATAATAAAGTTTGGCAACATTGTGAAAAAAGCAAACACGAGCCGCATTACAAACATCACGCAGAATTTTAGAGGAAAACATTGAATAGTGTTTAAATAATTAAATTAATTTCTAAAATAGATACACAAGGCGCATATTTGCATATATTAAAACGAACTACACTTCGTGCCTCCCCAGAACGCATTGTAAATTGCGGAAAAATCGAGAATCAGTTTAGTACCACGCAGACGCAAAACAACAACGTGCCGCGTGTAGCCGCACTGCCAGTTATTCCCAAAACAGTAAATATTAGCCGCAGCACTGAATTCGTGCCACGCACCACTTCCCTTAGTCCACAGGATGGTACCAATCGGTGCTGTACATGGTCACCCGGGCGTACATCCGCCACAGCCGATGCCTACGGCACCTACGGGCCCTAACACATTGCAGTCTTCGTCTTCAGCCACTTCCAACACCCCGTCAAATAAGAGTTCACTTTCGGTGAAACCCAATTATGCCCTGAAATTTACCTTGGCCGGTCACACAAAAGCCGTATCTGCTGTTAAATTTAGCCCAAATGGAGAATGGTTAGCCAGTTCATCGGCTGATAAATTGATTAAAATTTGGGGCGCTTATGATGGTAAGTTCGAAAAAACCATCTCCGGCCATAAGCTTGGTATAAGCGATGTCGCCTGGTCATCTGACTCTCGGTTGCTGGTAAGCGCCAGCGATGATAAAACACTTAAGGTGTGGGAACTAAGCTCGGGCAAATGTTTGAAAACTCTGAAAGGGCACAGCAATTATGTCTTCTGTTGCAACTTTAATCCGCAGTCTAATTTGATTGTTTCTGGCAGTTTTGATGAAAGTGTGCGTATTTGGGACGTTCGCACCGGCAAATGTTTGAAGACTCTTCCAGCGCACTCTGATCCTGTATCAGCAGTTCATTTCAATCGGGACGGGTCCTTAATTGTAAGTTCCAGCTATGACGGCCTATGTCGTATTTGGGATACCGCAAGTGGTCAGTGTCTGAAAACTTTGATTGATGATGATAATCCACCGGTGAGCTTTGTCAAATTTTCGCCCAATGGAAAGTATATTCTGGCGGCCACTTTGGATAATACTTTAAAATTATGGGACTACTCGAAAGGCAAATGCTTGAAGACATATACCGGACACAAAAACGAAAAGTATTGCATATTTGCAAATTTCTCAGTAACTGGTGGCAAGGTAATTACAATGGTTATAAAATACTTATGCGATTTAAATTTAAAATATTTTTCTGCAGTGGATTGTATCTGGTAGTGAAGACAATATGGTCTATATCTGGAACTTACAGAGCAAAGAAGTCGTTCAAAAGCTTCAGGGTCATACGGATACTGTTTTGTGCACAGCTTGTCACCCTACGGAGAACATCATTGCTTCGGCGGCGTTAGAAAATGACAAGACTATCAAATTGTGGAAAAGTGACACATAAACGCACGCGAATCATAAAATTCGATTGTGTGCGAATACAAATATAGTTCTATTAATTAAACTAGTTTAAGAAATCAACCTCAGACGTTTACTATGTTTTGTAATAACAAAACCCTCATACATAAACATTTCATTTCTGATATCTGTACGAAATTAAACTTCATTCAAATAAAGTTCTAAAACTGATATCATACTACGCTTATGCGTAGGTCAGCAGACTTGAAAGCAAGACTTGACGTGTCTGAAAGGGGACTTATACGTAAGCTATTTGCAAATAAAAATAATTTGCAAATACCTAACTCACTGTTTATTCGACGGTGTGGAAAATTCTTTTCTAATATTGCCTGATTATAAAAAGGCAATAATATGACCATCGTAAAAGAAAATGAACCTAAGAATGACGGCGTTTTGGCTTATTTGCAAATAGTACCACTAATCAATACTTATTTACGTGATTTAGTTATTTGCAAATAAAAAATTAACTCAGCGTTTATACGGCAAAATTTACCATTTTACAAATGGTTATTTGCAAATAATACGTGCGTATAAACGTAGTAAATATGTGAGTGTCGTAGAATTATGATATTTAAGAACATCTTTCTCTTAATTAACGATGACACTGTATCTATATGAAGCTGATCTCGACATTTTGTTTTAATAAGATTTAGTATCGAAAAATTCTTTCAAAAATTGCCTAGGAATGTGAGGTTGATAGCACACCTTGGGCTATGTTATGTTTTTAAAAACTTGCAAAGGCAAAAACGAGAAGACGAAGACAAAAAGAGAATAAAAAATTTCCCCCAGTGAATTTTCAGAGCTATGTATATATAGATAGTATTCATCACAAAATTGTACTAAAAAGTACTGCGTAGTAGGAAAGTATATTGTAAACGAAATTGTATCAAAAGAGTACAATTGTACCAAAACTGCCAACACTGGTGAAAGTGTAAGTCCGGCAAAGTCAGGTTTAAGAAACGCTGTTTACTAGGGCATGCCGTGGCTTAACGATGCTTCTGCAAATTTCAAAAAGTCACAATCCTATTTAGTTTCTCCCTAGTACTACGTTTATGCGACAGAATTCATGAGTTCTCCATTCCATGAATTCAAAAGTGGCCCCGTTTATGCATAGTTCGCGAATTCATAAAATAAAGAGCTTTAAAAAAGTGGCAACGCACTAGCGAGAAACTAAACAGTAGGGTTGTGGCTTTTTTGGCCTCCCTTTGAATTTGAAAAATCTGTTGGTACCAGGCAGGAAACGAACCATATTATATTTAAATTGGTTTTAATATACTTTCGTTTTAATCTATTTAAATTTATTTTATATTTGAACAATTTCACGTAACTTTTCCAGAGCTGTAAATCCTGTTTATGCCACTCATGCTTTTTAATCTAAAAACATCAGGTTCTTTCCCGTACGCAACGCGGCATCCCGCGGGTTCCAAAAATAGCCCAAAAAATTATTCCCGTACTCAACAAAATGGGTAATAGAGATCGAAAATTGGAACGTATTGGATCGTAAGTGTCTTCTTCTTCCTGCCCAAACAGCCCGGACTTTTTCTCGGGGTAAAAATGGATAAAGCGTCAAAGTGCATATCAGCTGTTTTGCGTTTACATGTTGCCTGAATTTACTTGGTGCTTTTAAGGAATAGTGAATGTATTTTCAATCTTAATATTCTTAAAATCAAATTTGTGGAACAAAAATTCAATTTACAAGTGTTTGCATTTAAGTGTCAAAACCAAAAACAACGCGAATCAACTGTTTCTCAAATTCTGGGCACGAAATGTGTTTTTTTTTGCGTTCCCATACTTCTGGATTATGTTCTATTTTTGAGAGCAAACTTTTCGCTTATTCTCTAATTACCGGATCTGGTCCGGATTGTTAGGGAAAGAACCTATCATAACCCTAGTAAACAGCTGTTTGTGGAACGTGGCGTTGCCGAACTTGCACTTCACGATTTCATGAAATGATGCCGAATTCATGGTTAATTTTCGTGTATAATTGAATGCATGAAATGAAGTTCATGCAGGCAATTTTAAACCAAATGCATGAAATGAATTCGCGAATCAGCTTACGCATAAACGTGTATAGTATGCTACGCTACGAAAATATAAGTGCTTGGTGATGGTGCAATTAATACAACAACAGGTATTACAGTAGTTTGCTGGTGAGAGAATATATATAATGAAGAAAAAATACATATTTACATTAATTGGGGATAAATCATTTAATTATGCAAAATTTTGTGAATTATGCAGAAATGGGGTATTTGAAAGTCGCCAAATTCAAGTTTTGCGATGACAAATAAATTTTCTCCGATTTGGCAACCCTATTTTTATATCCACGTGAAGTAATCTGGTGAAACTGCAACATCTGTCGTCTGCAATTTCCTAAAATTCCAAAATAAGTAGTTTGTGTAAATAAATTTTTATAAAAATCATCGAAAAACATAAAGCAGTATGTCGAAAGCCAAGGGCAAAAAGAAAAACGATCATTTAGAAGACGATGAAGATATAGAGGAAGTAAAGACAGCGTCGAACAAAAAGGCTGGTAAAAAAGGAAGAAAAGGTAAACGTGGCGGTGATTCCAGCGACGACGAATCGTTAGCAGGCAAGAAAGTTACCACCAACGATGCTGATGATTTAGAAAGCGTTAAGTCGGGAAGTAAAGCTCCGCAATCAAAAGGCAAAAAGGGAAAGAAAGGCAAGCGGAAAGACGAGTGGAGTGATGACGATGATGAACCAGAACCCATCGTACAACTTGGTGGCAAGAAAAAGGGATCAATAATTCAAGCCAGCGATGAAGATGATCCCAGCGTACCGCAACCAGCAGCAATCGCGAAAAAGCAAGGAAAAAAGAGCAAGAAGAACAAAAAGAAGGATGACTTCAGCGATGACGAAGATAGTGGCAATCAGAAGCCGAAATTTCCTGAATTGGTAGATGACGGTGATTCGGATGATGAGGAACTTATAGTCGCAATTGCCAAACCGGCTTCAAAAAAATCAGTCAAGAAGCAACAGAAAAAAGCAAACAAATTTGCAATAAGTGATGATGACGAAGAAGAAGAAGCTGTATTATTGGAAGAACAATTAGAAGATGAAGCAAGTGAAGAGCCTGAGCCAGAGCCAAAAACAATTATACCAAACAATGAAAAGGAGGTAGAAATATCCGAAATAAAAGAAGTTATGGAAGTCACGGAAAAAATTGAGGAGCTGCAGATAGAAAGTAATGTGCCTTTAGAAGAAACTCTGGAAGAGCAAGTATATCAAGAGGAGAAAAACAAGGATGCAGATAAAGAAAATAACACAGAGTCAGCGCTTAAGGAGAAAAAGCTTACGCATAAGGAAAAGAAGAAACAAAAGAAGCAACAGGAATATGAGAAGCAAATGGAGCTAATGACAAAGAAGGGTGGGTCTGGTCATTCCGACTTGGATAGCAATTTTACCATGTCTCAAGTGCAGCGCACTGCTGGTCAGCAAGCACAATTGGAGCACGCCGTTGACATCAAAATTGAGAATTTTACGATCTCGGCTAAAGGTACTTTACCATGTTGCAATTCTTCGAACTGTGTCTAAAACTTCATTTTTTTCAGGTAATGACTTGTTTGTGAACGCCAATCTTTTGATTGCTCACGGACGTCGTTATGGTTTAGTGGGCCCTAATGGGCATGGCAAAACCACCCTTCTCCGGCACATATCCACACGTGCCTTCGCTATTCCGCCAAACATAGATGTGCTGCTCTGTGAACAAGAAGTAATTGCTACTGACAAAACAGCCATTGAAACAATACTAGAGGCTGATGAGAAAAGAAATAAGCTTTTGGCAAAGTGTAAAGAGTTGGAGGATCAATTTGCTGCTGGCGATATGAGTGTTCAAGAGGAATTGAACGACACATTTTCCGAGCTAAAAGCCATTGGCGCATATTCCGCGGAAGCCCGTGCTCGTCGTATCTTGGCTGGTCTTGGTTTCAGCGAAGAAATGCAAAACCGCCCGACAAATAAGTTTTCCGGTGGCTGGCGCATGCGTGTTTCGTTGGCGCGAGCACTTTACTTGGAACCAACCTTACTTATGCTTGATGAACCTACTAACCATTTGGATTTGAACGCTGTAATCTGGTTAGATAATTATTTGCAGGGTTGGAAAAAAGACGCTTTTAATAGTTTCCCACGACCAGAGTTTCTTAGACAACGTATGTAACGAAATAATACATCTCGATCAGAAGAAACTGCATTACTACAAGGGTAATTACTCCATGTTTAAGAAGATGTATGTTCAAAAGCGGCGCGAAATGATAAAGGAATATGAAAAGCAGGAGAAACGCTTGAGAGAACTGAAAGCTCATGGTCAATCAAAGAAAGCAGCTGAAAAAAAGCAGAAAGAAGTTCTCACCCGAAAACAAGAGAAAGGGAGGCCTAAGCAGCAGAAGCAAGATGACGATGATGGGCCTCAGGAACTATTGGCTCGTCCAAAAGAGTATATCGTCAAATTCCGCTTTCCAGAACCGTCACAGCTGCAACCCCCTATTTTGGGAATACACAATGTTACTTTTGCTTATGAAGGGCAAAAGCCACTGTTTGTCAATACAGATTTCGGTATAGACTTGACAAGTCGAGTGGCCATCGTTGGGCCAAATGGTGTGGGCAAATCTACGTTCCTTAAATTGCTACTTGGGGAATTGGAGCCACAAAAAGGAGAGCAACGCAAAAATCATCGGCTTCGAGTCGGTCGATTTGATCAGCACTCTGGTGAACATCTAACTGCCGAGGAGTCCGCCGCAGAGTATTTGCAACGCCTTTTCAATTTGCAACACGAGAAGGCGCGCAAGGCGTTAGGTTCGTTTGGTTTGGTGAGCCATGCGCATACTATAAAAATGAAGGATCTCTCCGGTGGTCAGAAAGCGCGAGTTGCCCTCGCTGAACTCTGTCTAAGTGCGCCCGATGTGCTGATTCTCGATGAACCTACGAACAATCTCGACATTGAGTCTATTGACGCCTTAGCAGAAGCCATTAACGAGTACGAGGGTGGTGTAATTATAGTATCTCACGACGAACGGTTGATTCGTGAAACTGGCTGTACATTGTACGTAATTGAAGACCAGACCATTAATGAAATCGATGGTGAATTTGATGACTACCGTAAGGAGGTGCTGGACGCGCTAGGCGAAGTGGTCAATAATCCGAGTGTTGTGGCTAACGCAGCCGTGTTGCAATAATTAAACACGTCTTTGATTAAGATATTTGAAATTGTTTTGTATGCAATTCTAGTGCTAGATTGAAATTATTTAAAAAAATAAACCGTTAAAGTTGATTGATGAAGAAGAAGGAGCTTTGGTCGAAACACATGATGCATTGTACATATGTATGAAACAAATTTAAATTTGCGCGGATATTTGAAAATGAAGATGCACACGTCACTTGAATATTCGTATGCTCATAATTGCGGTAAATTGGCATTTTTTATTTTGTATCGGATATACCGATCGATCTCTATTTGGACAGGTAAACAAAGGTTTGCACACAACCCGACATAAAAATTATCCGTTGCACACACCAATTCAAGGCGTATTTACACCAAATTGTATTTAAGTGGATGCCATCCTTTCTAATGCCACAGAAGAGGCACAGACAATCAAGTTTATTGCAAAGAACGTAGATAACTAGATTATAGATATAGAAGATAGATTATCTACGTTCTTTGGTTTATTGTTTATCTGATCGCTGAAATACCCGCCTTATAGACAAAACTCGAAGTGAATTTGAAATCAATCGACGCCATCTTTGTTGTAAGAAGTAAACAATGAGGAGAACGAAGAAAACCGCGTAATTGTTGAACGCATGAATAATAATTTTTATTATGCAAATTCTTTTATAAATCATGTCCTTGTGTTAAATTATTCTACACACGTTGTCAAAAGCGAAAATGAAGAAAATTGCAGTGAAAAGCTAACACCAAATTGGAAACAACGAACAAATGCAAACAAACTGCTAATGTCAAAATCGCCCTACTTTTTTCCTAAATGCGATTATAACGGGCTACTCTTCTTGCGTGATTCGGTATTTTTGGTTCATTGCAGCGAACCCTGGTGCTGAAACAACTAACAAGATCACGGTAAAGAATGAAAAAAGTAAATTTCTGAGTGTTTTTGATATCCGCCTAAGAACAAAAAAAAAAAACAAAGAAAACGAAAAAGGCGCGGTGATTGAGTGCGATTATATTGGTATTTATTATAAAATATAAAAAGTGAAACTTGATGACAATTAGCAAAAAAAAAGTTCATAAAATATGGTAATGAAGGTAAAACCCAAGGCGAATTTATATAAGGTGGTGTTACTAACTCAGCAGCGGGTCGATTTTTCAATGCCAACGCACAAACTTGTTCCAATCACAAAGCGCTTAATTTTATATCATGAATTTGTAATAAATCAATTTTAAAATTAAAATCCCTCATAAAACACACGAAATTGCTAAAAAAAAGCCTCCCCGAAGCGATAGAAGACGATGTAACAAAACGGAAAATCATCAAAAACGGTACAAAAACTTTTTTCTGAAATTCGATTATAAATACAACGATGGCCGATTAACTGATCTGTAGCTCGCACCTCTAAATTCGCCTTGACAGCGTCCTTGACAGAGTTGGCATCACTGCTTTTCGCCTTGCTTTTGTCAAGTAAATTTTTTACAAGCTGATTGTCGCAATTCTGTCAAATTCAGTTCACGGATAAAGTTTGCGGAAAAATGAAAACAATGAAAATTTAGAAGTAAAATAAAATATTGTTAGTTACTTGGGTTGTGGTCAAACAAGTGAACAATAAATTTATGTGTATAAAGTGCGAAGCAAACAGTTTACGAAAGGTGAGTTGAAAACCACGGGAGCTCTGCAAACATGAGTGAATTCGAAGCAGCAGGGGTTAATACAAATATCCTGACCCCGAGCACGGGCCAGGGGTCCTTTAATTGTGTTGACAGCAACGCTGATAGTGCACGCAATAGTCCGCAAAGAAGTTCAAAAACCCCTGATAGCCAGGAAAAAATAGAAATTACTCACATCAAACAGATCCGCCTGCCTATTGAGGGCATGACTTGCCAGAGTTGCGTAAGGACTATTGAGGGCACGATATTAGGGAAGCCAGGCATTCTAAATGTGCATGTGGTTCTAGAAGAGAGTGCTGGTTATTTTGACTACAATCCAGAAATAACAGATCCGCCTAAAATCGCCTTTGAAATAGAAGAAATGGGATTCGACTGTCCATATAACGCTGCAGACGAAACCGTAGAAAAGGCTGCGGGTGGGAGCATAGCTTGTAGTTCTAAAACACAAATACGCATCATTGGTATGACTTGCAACTCGTGCGTTCGCAACATTGAAGGAAACATAGGTACGAAGCCTGGTGTTTTAAAAATTTGTGTAACTTTAGAGGATAAGCGAGCCACGGTGGAGTATGATTCCACCCGATTGACGCCTAGAGAAATTGCTGAAATGATTGACGATATGGGCTTTGAAGCAAGCGTATGTGATGAAGCTAACGCTGGTGACGTAGGAGTTAGTACACCCAAACACACACCAAAGCGTAGTTCAACACCCCCGCAGAAGCAACAGGTGTCAAATGGATCTCCTGCAAACGCCTCCCCAAAGGCCCACGCAATGGTTTCCGTTGACGAGGCATTATCGAAATGCTTTCTGCATATACGTGGCATGACGTGTGCCAGTTGTGTAGCAACCATTGAGAAACACTGCAGAAAAATTTATGGATTAGATAGTATACTTGTGGCGCTGTTAGCCGCCAAGGCAGAGGTGAAGTACAATGCCAATGAAGTGACTGCTGAAAATATTGCCAAATCAATAACGGAGCTGGGATTTCCATCGGAAATTATTGATGAACCGGGAAGTGGGGAGTCAGAGGTAGAAATTGAAATTGCGGGTATGACCTGTGCTTCCTGTGTAAACAAAATCGAGACGCATGTACGGAAAGTGAAAGGTGTTTCAGCAGCTGCAGTAACATTAATGACTCAAAGAGGTTTGTACATAAGTAAAAGGCAATAATTTGGTAATAGTTTATCTAAATATAAGAAATGCATTTGCCGTCTCTTGAGTAGTAGTCAATTCGGCATCTAGCCAATAACTAGGAACCATTAAAGTGTGAGTAGTTTGTATACTCATAGCAGGTTTTTGTAAGCATTTATTGTATTGTGCGATACGTGCTTTGGAATCGGCATACATATTTAACTAGTACAAACAATACAAACAAATATTCAAAATGTGAATGCTTACAAATCCAGTTTTTATATAGATACATATGTATACATTTTCCTATGAGCTTTGTTTGATATTTAAAGACTAAAATAAGCTATAACAAAGCTTTATTAGATTTTTATCTTTTATAAGGCAACGTAGCTGTATTAATATTTCCCCCCAGCAGTTGAATTACATAGTTATATTTTAATACAGAATTTAGTGACTCCAAAAATAATTAATCATGCCTGTTTGCTTGAAGATTTTGCCGTCTAGTGTTATCTAAATGAGAACTTTTGATATATAGCCGAGGCGAATTACTTTGATTCATGTATGTATGTACCTAGGCAATACGTTTAGTAGGACCTTCTCACCTTTTGCTACACTTAGTATAAAGTGCATATATATGTATGAATGCTTCAGAGGGAATGCCCAAATGTCACTCACAAAATGCATGCATATGCAATGACATTATGCATGTATAAATAAATAAAAAACCTTTGCTACTTTTCCAAATCTACCCACATATTAATATCATGTGATATCTAAAGAATCTACAATGAACTTATCACTAAGCCGTTTGTTATCACAGTTATCTAAGCGTCGAATGTAGGTGTTCATATATACATACATAATAACATTACTTACTTATGTATGTATTTCGACATATTTCAGACATTGCTTGGCTTAAGCCTCGCATCATATCGCGCTATCAATTCATGCATATGATAACATACATATGTATGTATGTATATGCATTTACGCGTACATAATTAGAATACAATGAAACACTAAGAAATCTAGCGCATTCCTATTAATAATGCGTATTTGAAAGCAATATACATAAAATATTTCGAAATCGGAATGATGCATGTGTGTAAATTATTACCGATGTATCGTCATTACAAAATAAAGCCTTATTTCTTATCACTCCTTGCAAAATAAATATATACATATATACTTTAGACATCAAATAAATAAAAAAGTCCCCATTGTGATGTAGGTTGGGTTTAAACATTACCCAGTAGAACGCACTTCAGAAGGCATTTTGGAGGAGTTCTTTTAAATTTGGTTCTTTAATTTATAAAAATCCTACATCTTTGAAGTGTTTGCTTAAGGTTTATATCAAATATGTGTTATTGCAACTTTAAATGTTTATTTAAAAGGCAAACAATATAAATTTATGCATTCGCGTAAATTGTAAATGGGTAAGCCCTTCTAGAAGGCAGGCAAGAAAGCACTTTTTTCAGTCCTTCTTGGTTAGGCTCTTACAGTGGCTTTACTTAAGAAGGCCTACCTAAATTATCTTCTGGGTACCCTCATAAAAGAACAGAGGTGGGCTTGTCCATATCTGTAAAACCATACATTCATATGTAAATATCGCACATCGTCTTCAAAACTGACACAACTCAAAATTTGGCATTTCTGAAATAATGCGCTAAAAAACGTGCACAGATATTTTATTTACCTTCCAGCAAACGAACAAGTTTTTTTATGATTTGTTAAAAAAAAACATAAGGTAAAGTCCCTCTTGCCCATATGATTATCATGTGCTAGGAAATAGTTTTGCGCATTTTCTGATAAACGTGTAATTTTGAGTTGTGCCCCGTCGAAGACGGACTGTGATATGTATGTCCGGAATTTCGCCCACTCTTGAACGCTGGTTTACGCTAAAGTATTAAGAAAATAGTTTACAGGAGTTAGGCTCGGTTTTATGCAGAACTTACTAATATTATTTTTATTTGCATTAACTTAGCAACTATTCCATCGTTACACATTGGTGCCAAACCAATTAAATTTGTGTCAAAAGTAACTAACCATGGGTTTATTATCAACACTGGCCCTACCTGCATTGACCATGTGTATTCAACTGTAGGCAAAGTCTATAATACTTTAAGGAATTTACGAATGTCTCCTCCATTCACACCGATAGAAATCAGACGTAAACTCGCAATCCAACTTATAATGCCAATTATCTGTCATTCTGAGGTAGTCTACAGCAGGTTAGATTCACAATCAGCTCACAAATTAGATGTAGTATTTAACCAGATCACGCGCTATGTGTTTGGGCTAGCAAAATATGAGCATATTTCCGCTTGGAGAACGCGCCTACTTGGCTGCGAAATTTCTGAATATCTTAAAGCTAGAAATTGTATATTCCTTTTTCGTCTCATGACAGATAAGGCACCCAAATATCTATATGAAAAATTAACGTTCCTCAAATCTACTCGAGTAAAGGACTTGACTGTTCCTACCTACAATTATCTCTGGATCTGGAACTACTCTGTTAATTACATTATGATACTTTTAATTAGTCTTAAGTAATTTTTGCTGTTTTAGTTATATGTATGTATGTACTGTTATGAATTTTTTGTTGCGCTTTAAAAGATCTTTCTTTTGATCTTATTGTGCTAATCATTTTATTAATAAATGAAAATGAAAAATTACAGGAAAATTCAGATATAATACCGAGTTGACTGGCCCGCGCAGCATATGCGAGGCTATCGAACAGCTGGGCTTCACGGCACGTCTGCTCAATGGCAAAGACAAAATGACGCACGACTACCTGCAACACAAAGAAGAGATTGCCAAATGGCGCAATGCCTTCTTGGTATCTCTGATATTTGGAGGGCCCTGTATGGTTGCCATGATCTATTTCATGGTCGAAATGGGAGACAAGGGACATGCAGCGATGTGTTGTTTGGTTCCCGGTTTGTCGATGGAGAATCTGGTAATGTTTTTGCTCTCCACTCCAGTACAGTTCTTCGGGGGTTGGCATTTTTACGTGCAGTCCTTTCGCGCAATCCGTCACGGTACCACAAACATGGATGTGCTAATTTCAATGGTCACTACGATATCCTATCTCTACTCTGTGGCGGTGGTCATAGCAGCTGTGTTAATGGAACAAAACTCCTCACCCTTAACATTCTTCGACACGCCTCCTATGTTGCTGATTTTCATATCCCTGGGTCGCTGGTTGGAGCATATTGCTAAGGGGAAGACATCCGAGGCTCTTACGAAACTGTTATCATTGAAGGCGGCTGAGGCGCTGCTGGTCGATGTGACTCCTGACTTCGATATAAAATCGGAAAAGGTTATACCGGTAGACTACGTACAGCGAGGCGACATTCTCAAGGTTATACCGGGTGCAAAGGTGCCGGTGGACGGTAAAGTTCTTTATGGTCACTCGACTTGCGATGAAAGCCTCATCACGGGCGAATCAATGCCAGTGGCCAAACGCAAAGGTGCAGTAGTCATTGGCGGCTCGATAAACCAAAATGGCGTGCTACTCATATCTGCAACTCACACGGGTGAAAATACAACCTTGTCACAAATTGTGCGCTTGGTCGAGGAAGCGCAAACTTCCAAAGCGCCCATACAGCAGTTGGCCGACCGTATTGCCGGATATTTTGTGCCCTTCGTTGTGGTGGTATCGACAATTACGCTTATCGGTTGGCTGATAGCTGGCTTCGCTGACCCGAACCTCGTGCCGGTAGCAATGGAACACAAAATGCATATGGACTCTAACGCAATTGTCATTAGTCATGCCTTCAAATGCGCTTTGAGCGTACTCGCTATTGCTTGTCCTTGCGCGTTGGGTCTGGCCACTCCAACTGCGGTAATGGTAGCCACAGGCACCGGAGCCATCAACGGTGTGCTGGTCAAAGGTGCTACAGCCTTAGAAAACGCCTACAAGGTATGATGGTTGCATAATTAGATGTATAATATGTACATATATGTATATTTTTTGTGTTTTAGGTAAAAAACTATTGTCTTCGACAAAACCGGTACCATAACGCACGGCATGCCAATGACCTCCAAGCTAATTATGTTCGTCAAACCCGCCGTCTGCAGCTTAGCGCGAGCGCTCACCATCATTGGCGCTGCTGAGTCCAACAGCGAGCATCCAATAGCTTCTGCGATTGTGCGCTTCTCAAAAGATGTGCTGGGCTTGCAAACGTTTGGAAAGACTCAGAACTTCCTTGCCGTGCCGGGATGTGGCATAAAAGTGACCGTTCTGCAGTATGAGCAGGCGTTGCGTCAGGCTTGCAATGCAGAGAAAATCATTAATTACGAAAATAACTACCGTTCCAATCCCAGCTCCACACACACCGAAAATGGCGCCAGCATTGAAGAGCTGATACCACAGTTACTGACACGCAAGTCCATGGAGCTTCAGCAGCAACAACAGCTTTTGCAATTAGATGAGACCTTACCCTCTGAGGCCGTATCAACCGTGCTGGGCAGCGAAATAAATGTTCTGATTGGCAATCGCGAATGGATGCATCGCAACGCCATATCGGTGCCAAATGAAATCGATAACTGCATGAGCGAGGAAGAGACAAAAGGTCACACGGCTGTGCTGTGCGCGTTGAATGGTCAGCTCATCTGCATGTACGGTGTGTCAGACCTAGTCAAGCCTGAGGCGCATCTAGCTGTTTACACGCTGAAGAAAATGGGAATCAATGTAATCCTGCTAACGGGTGACAATGAAAACACTGCTGCAAGTATAGCGCGCCAGGTAAGTTACCCCATAAAACTAAAAAGCTTGTACTGATCCCAACTCGATTTCAGGTTGGCATTAAACGGATCTTCGCCGAGGTGTTACCCTCGCACAAAGTGGCCAAAATTCAGCTCATACAAGAAAGCGGTGCCCGTGTCGCGATGGTTGGCGACGGTGTCAATGACAGCCCCGCTCTGGCTCAAGCCGACGTTGGCATCGCTATTGCGGCAGGCACTGACGTGGCGGCCGAAGCAGCCGATGTGGTGCTGATGCGCAACGACTTGCTGGACGTGGTGGCCTGCCTCGACCTGTCGCGCCGCACCGTGCGCCGAATACGGTACAACTTCCTCTTCGCCAGCATGTACAACCTTCTCGGCATACCGCTGGCGTCGGGCATATTTGCACCCTTCGGCTTCACGCTGCAGCCGTGGATGGCGTCAGTGGCGATGGCAGCCAGCTCGGTATCAGTGGTCTGCTCATCTCTAATGCTAAAATGGTATCGCAAACCCTCGGCTGCTTCGTTGCGTACACCCGAGTACATGAAACTTCTGGCACAGGAGCGCGACAATGAACTCGAACCCGATCAGTTGTCATTGCATCGAGGCCTGGAAGACTTACCACGCGCTAAGCTAAACCGCTCTAATAGCTCACTTCTGTCACGAATATTCCTACACGGCGGCGATAGCATTCGTTACGATCACAACGAAGGCAGCCTACTGGAAACAGAAGGTCGTGATTTCTCCCCGAAAATTGTTAAGTCGAAGAATATCCGAAATGTGACCGAAATGCAGAAGCTTTAAAGCGATGAAAGGCAAGTTTTTAGTGATTGTCCGTAGGTAGTGAAGTGTAGAATTTGTTTTTGTTATTTTGTATGTTTATATTTGTATAACTGAGAAGTATGTAAATTTTAAAAATAAGAAGCGCAACGTAGAGATGTTTCTATCTTAAGCCCTCTGTTCTTCGCTATTGAACAAAATAACGATCACTATTTTTTTACATAAATTAAGGTGCATTTACTTTGTGCATATGTTTGTAAAAAGATATTTTTTCCGCGGATGCAAATCGCTTTTCGAAGAAAAAATTTTCGATAAGTTTATATACATAGAATATTTTTCTAACTTTTGCCTTTCTACAAAAATCCAACCTGAACAAAAAAATCCTAAAAGGTACGATAAGCAGCAGCAGTATGTAATATACATAATATGTACGCAAATATACGAAATATTATTCAATATTATTTAAAAAAGTGTTACACACATACATACAAATTCAAACTATATATCTGTGCTCATAAGCAATAACCGCCTAAGTCGAAAAACCTGAATTCGAGAAAAAACGTTTTAAACATTTGGATAGTAATGTTAGCCCTATGGGGTAACAAAAATATTTTCGTCTTGAACTTTTCAACAGCCTAGCTGCCGAGATGGCGATTTCACACACGCCTGGAATAGTAGTTGCAAAATACGATAGCATATATAGCTCAATTATTTCTTAAGTCGACTTAGGCGGTTATTGCTTATGACAACAGATACAATACATGCATATACACATATACATATTCATAGTCTCCATATCGATTTAGAATAAAGACCCTATATCAGTGAAAACTTCCCAAACGCAACTAATAATGTTTGCGGTGCCAATTAACTGCTATGTGACAGCAGCAGCACCACAAAGCCTTTATCGTTTATCAAAATGTTAGAAAATACGAGTAGCGTGAAATTTTTGATAAGAGGAACATTCTTGTGTTTTTCGAACAGATTGGCATTTGTGATGTGTACTGTGTGCACTGTGGGATTAAAATTTAGTTCCATATAAAATAAAACAACAAAGCATAGTAATACACAACTGATAGCTCAAATTTTGATGTTTTAAGAATTTAAGAAATGTACTTCTGATGACTTCACTATAATGAAAATGCAATTTTAAAATGAAAATGTCTTGGGGAAAATGACCTGATCCAGAAAAACGGTATACAGATCCGTAATCTTCGACCCAAAATTAAGTTTACGTGTCTCGGCGTTTTTTTTTGTAACCGGCTCCCAAAAAAGGAGGAGCTAATCAGTTCGTCGGAATATTTTTTTTTTATGTATGTTACCGCATAACTTTGGACCACGTCAACCGAAGATAATTCGATAATTCTATTTGCATCGGAAAGGTAGTGTCTCAAAGGTGGTGTTATACTAATCTGGTTTAGATCCGATCAGTGGATCATGAAATATATATGTATATAGTCGGTTCTCTTTTTTGCTAAAAATTACTTGTTGTCATTTGTTGTCACTGCAGTGCTATTTTTGATTCGAAAAAAATCTACTCGGCTTTTGAAGTTTCATTAGTGCTTTATCTCTTCCATTTGCATTTGTTTTACATGTTTTGTTAACGCGTTAATACCAACTTTGTCGTACCCTATTTAAACATGTCTAATATCTTCACCGTGACAATGCCAGCGTCGTGTTGTACAAGTTTTAATTTCATCTTTTATCAAAGACAGTGGTGGTGCATATGTGCTGTATGAAAAAGTAAACACAGTTGGTTAAACTTAAATTGCTACCGTGTCTCTCATTGGTTTTTGTATGGTTCGATTGCGGTTGCCCTATAAATATTTTGTCATCTTATTGGCCGAACGGGGCGCTGAAGGAGAACAGACACTGGCTGAAGCCACAATTAATTACTCGTGGCACAATAATTTCAATGAACTGCAGTTGATACAACAGCGCAGCTGTTTTCTTTCGACGCATTGTTTTTTTCTTGTTAACATTTCGTGCACCAAAATCAAACTTAAAGTAAAATAACAACACGTGCGCACCTGCCGCACTGGCAAAAAGTATTGATGCGAACATGTTAAAATCTACTTACAGATATGGGGAAATCTCCGGAACCATGTGCTTTTAAATTAATTTTATTAATATAATTTCACTTTTGATAAAAAAATATGACCATTTTGATAACAAATTTGACGATTTCTTTTAGCTTATTTAATTTATTTATTTTTTTGATAGTGTCATTTTTACTTTTACAAACAATCAGTCATTAAAATATGAATTTTGCGGTCACTTTGGATACCTTTGGTACTTTTTTAGAGTATAACTTTCAGCGCAAAATGGAGGCATTCAAAAATCATGGCAAATAGTAAAATTGGAAAATGTACTAGGCATTGAGAGAAATAGGTGCTCCTCATTGGAAATAAACTGTAATAATTTGAAATCTGTCCCTCATAATTGTCAAATAGTTATTATTTTTGGTTCTTTTCCATTTTGCATTTTCAGCAATTAATTAATTGTTTTTATTTCTGTATATGATATTTACAATCAGTTTTACAAAATTTGATATACACATTGCACTTGACCTTTTTAAACACCGTTACACACCTTTTAAATCACGTCCTCTAGATCTTACGAGTTTTAAAAAATGATAATTTTTACTTATAACTCCTTAAGCATTTGAGGAAAATTAATCACACGAGAATTTTGAATTTCCTCAATGGATTTCAAAAAATTTTATGTATAATTTATTTTTGTGTGTTTAATTAAAAAAATTACGTTCTTTTTAGCGTTGAATCGCACTGTTATGGAGATTTGCCTATATACTTACAATTTTTCGATGATTTTGAATTTCCTCAATGGATGATGGATCGATGAGGGATATTTTCCATTTCACGCTAAATAAACTTCGATCCAATTATTTGCATATGTAATCGCAAGTAATTTTGTTTTATTGACTCGAAATTTCTTAAATTAGTTTCTAAACGATATCGAATAAAAAGTAGTAACTGCAAATTAGAGCTCATAATTGCTTTCAAACCATGTGGGGGTCACAGGTTCTTTCATACACTTGCCCTGGTCATTGTCAACATGAAATTTCCCATAACTTCAACAAGCTGTTCAACATTCCTCTATTATCTCCATTGGTGAGCGCTCCGTGCTGTTTTCCAATTTTGTTTTTGTAATAGGATAGACATGAAGATTTTCCTTGAAATCCTTAATGTCTACAATTGTGGTAGCGTCACCGTCTTTCGGTATGAATCGCACATCCAATTTGCTGGCCAAAGCATTGAATAGCTCCTCGTCGTCGACCTCCGATTCAGCACCACTGCTGCCTCCGCTGTCGTCATTGGAGTTCTCGCTCCGCGTCGGGGCGCGTTTTACGCGCACCGAATCTTTATTGCCAATAACTTGCACCGACAATTTACGCAGATTGGTGCGTTCGTTGCTCAGACAAAAATCGATAATATCTTGTTTGGTCAGCGCGCGCAGTACCTCAACCTCTCGCCGTCTCCGATCGAACACGTACTCCTCGGACGTTATCTCCTCCCAATTGTGGGACACTTCCTCAGCAAGCGAGATATCTACTACCTGCTTGATTTTGATTAGGGATTCACGCACATGATCGAAGTCCTCTGGCGACATCTCTTCCAGTATTTGCAGCATTTTGCCACGGAATACCTCAATTCGTTCATCCACGTGAGCTGCGCTGAACTTGGTTTCCTGTGAATTGACCGCGATGGAGTAGCCAATTATGCCGTAGTTCATACGCACCGAAGCAGATACGTAGTACCCCAGCTGTTCCTTTGTACGGAGCGTATCAAATAATGGCTCCTCGACGAACATCATCAGCAAATCCAAAATGCTCTCGATCCGTAGAGAACACGGGCCAATTTGGTAGAAATTGCAAATAACAGTATTTACGTCCTTCTCATTGAGAGTGCCGCAGCGAATAAAGTGAGAACCTTGTGGCAACTGGACGGTACGATTCTCGATGTACTTTGTCTGAAAAATTAAAATTGAATGACAACTTAAAGAGTTTTTGAAGTGCTTCAGCTTCTATTTCATAATACCTCTTTGATGTTCCGACAATTGAGTGTAGTTAAGACAGAGTTCATGACATTGTGTGCGGACTCCTCCGTTAAATTGCCCTGCATGAGAGTCTGTAGATAGAGTTCACTCGTGTAGGCATCGGCGAAATTTAACACATCGTTCAATGTTAGGCTATCTAAACACTTGTATTTAGTTATCATGGGCCAGCGGATGTGTTCCACAATGCTTAGACGTATGTCCCTTGAATTGAGAGTGTATATATATAATTATATGTCATATAGTTAAAATTTCGTAGTTGATGTACTTATTAAGAGTCCGAGGTTTAATGAGCGAATTGAAGTATGCTTTCTTCTGGTCTGTTTTAAATATATTGAACAAATCTTCCGTTATGTGATCACGCATTGACACCATAGCTTTCGTTATGATGCCCACCAACAAATGCAATTTTTCATTGTATCCATTCACCTTATTGTTTTTAATAGGTTCATATTAAATGAAGCTAGACAAAATTTTGTCAGAGTTTGTAATACCTTTAGAATAATTCCTTTCTCGGCAGTGTAAAACTGATAGGAAAGTCCTGCAACTGTAGCTGGGTACAATTCCTCACTCAACCTAAATTTTACCAGCTTCTCATAAAGTACACACAAAGCATCGCTAGGGGATTTACCATATAATTTCAGTTAATTTAAATAAGGCAGAATTTCGAAATATTTGTGGTACTTGCTTTTTGGGATCCATTCGCAATAGCGGTGATATGAAATAAAAGTACATATATGCCTCGGGCAGCAAGAACTTGTCGTCCTGTCTGAACCACAATTCGCAAATATCCGTTTGGAGTATCTTCTTCGGGGCCGTTGGGATCTCTGGTTTGCCATTTTCATCCCAGTGCAAGCGGAAGTCATTTGAGATAAAACGATTTGGCTTCGGCAAGAACAAGTCTGGTATCGGTTCTGATTTATCCCAAAGGTCACGCCACTTTTGTGGCATTTTAATTGTCGTATAATCAGTACCGAACCACTTTTCCTTTTTGTCATATGCTACTCCCTCATATTTGTGTTGCGAAGTGATCATTATATTGAACCTGAACTCGTTTAAATGCTTCACCACCTCTTTAATATGCTCTTCGTTGTACTCGTAATATAACTCAGTTCCAGTGAGAATATCCTTTGGTGGATAATATTTCAGTTGTACTGCCAATTTCTCAACATTGTCCAGAGCCGGGCGCTGAGATTCGAATCTAAAGTTAGTTGCCTCAATTTTTTGTAACTCGGTGTACGCATCTTTGAATGGACCACAAACGGCAAACAGTTTTATGAAGGCAAAACATGCAGCAAGTACCTAAAAACGAAATTATGTACATCATGCCATGGGATAACGTATGCTTTTACCTCATCGAGATGCTGAAAACCACGATCAGTTAAGAATATGCCGATGACAAATGAAGAGTAAATCGAATTTGATTCGAAACCACTCTCATCAATGCCCGCAGTCAGTTCTAATCCCCATAAACGTTTTCTCAAATAGGCACACAAACTGCCCTCCCCTTCGAATCCTACCAAATGTGAGATAAACTGATCTGGTTTTGTTTTATAGAACTGAAACGAAATAAAACAATTATTAAAATGTTTAATTAAATGTACCCATTAGTTCAAAATGTTAGTACCAAACCTTAATCATTGACGGCAGTACCCATGTAAGCTCCAGTTTGCATATATTTTCCACGGGTTTAACAAAAAATACTTCTTCGAAAAACTCGTTACGGAAAGCGTTGCGGTAGTCGTACGGTGACAGGTTAATACCTGGAAGATCGTTGCTTGGAATGCCCGAGAAGTGTTTCACAACCATTTGCTCCAGTTCGTCAATTGGCAAGCGAGCTTGAACACAAACACACATACGGTGTGCACTGTAGTGCCGCTTCTGGAATTCATGCAGTTTTGCATGCAGCTCGTCATCGCTAATGCCATCCTTGAGAGTTTTTAGATTTCCCCATGGAAATGTGGCGTGCGGATAGCCGGGTGTGGCATATGCTGCCACAAGCTGATCCCGCCTGACTTCATCATCGAGTACGATTTGTTGAAACTCCGATTCAACAGAATCTCGTTCACGCGTCATGGCTTCTTTTTTCATAAGCGGTGCTTTCAATAAGGCCGAGAAGTAGTCCATACTGCTATCTAAATGCTCTTCAGATACTTCAAAGTAGAAGCAAGTCTCTTCGAACTCTGTGTGAGCATTGTCAAACCCGCCGCATTTTTTTATATGTGCATCGAATGCATTTTCCGCTGGGTATTTTTCGGAGCCCATAAAAATCATATGCTCCAGGAAATGTGCTAAACCTTGATATTCTGCAGGTTCCGTAAACGATCCGACATCTACCAGCAATGCACAGGCTGCCAACTTTTCATCACCTGCAATACTCATTGAATTTAAATTTGAAACGATGTTCTGTATTGGATGACTTACCTTCTTCTGACTCCAAGTCGGAATCACTTTCACCATTGTCCGTTGTGGAAGTGCTCATGGACTCTTCATCTTCGCTGCTGGTGCTACTACTCTCTTCGGCGCAGGAATCTCCAGTCGAATCATAAGAGGAAGATGAAGACGAAGAGGTCAGACCGCAGTGTGGAATAGGTGTCGGGTCTGACACCAGCAATGCACGTATACCATTGCTCAGTAAGAGTGTTCTGGAAAGTAAACAAACGTTTGTAACGCACATCCTTCTTAGCTTTCCATTTGTTTTGGTAACTTACTTGTAATATTTTTTGTCGCTTTCTGACTTATCAGGAATTTCCAAGTATGTCACGGTTGATTCTGTATTCACCATGTCTGTTGCAGAACGATTTCTAAAATATCCAGGGCGCGTAGGTGCTGGGCTACGGGGAATCAAACTGCCCTTCAGAAGCCTACTGAAACTTTTTGATAATGGTGTGGCCTGCTGTGAAGGCTTAAAACAATATGTAAATTTTACGCGACGTTGGAAAGATGCCTCTGCTGCTAAAAATTTTGCGAATTTCCGAGTAAACATAAACTTTTTTAACCTCACTGTGTTGGAACTATCGAGGATCACACGCTCAAAAATCTTTATTGTTTACTTTTGCGGCTAATGGTTTTAATTTTGTTACAATTTTTTTTTTTTTTTAATTTAAATTGTCTGAAACGTAATTACAATTTATTGGATTTTTTCTTAACCAAATTTGCCGCAACCTCCATTGAAAAATGAAAGCAAAGTGACCAAAAATAAAATCATACACTGATGAGTTTTTCTTGTCTGTTTACTTTGACGTTTAGTCCAGTTCACAATTTCCACACGGGCATTGTTGTGAATGAATGAAAGCAAATGTCAGTTGGAAGCTTTGTTTCTTAACAGGTAATTATTACTAATTTCTGCTGGAAAGCGTTTCTTAATCAAAAAACTAGCAGCTCTCGTTCTTACGCTCTGCTTTTCTAGGCTCTCCTGCTAATTTCTAGCAGCTGTCAAAATAAATAAAAAAATAGGTTTGTATAGTAACTTCTCCAGTAAAAGATTGCAGCGAGAGCGTAAAATTGAGAAGAGGAAAAAAACTAGCAGAAAAAGATATTGAACACAAAACTAGTAAAAACGTGCAATTGAATAGTTGTTGCACTGTTTTGATATTCTGCTGTAAACATTTTACTATTTATTAATCAGTTTTTAACTCTTTGCTTTAAAAACAAGCACTTACACAGTCCAGTACATCATTAATATTTTGATTTCCATTGATTTTACTTTTGTATATGCGTTGGCGTCGCTTCAGGGTTATAAACCCTAAGCACGGAAACAGGCCGCCTCCGAAGAATGAACTTTTTAAATAGAAGCCTCTGGGGTCTGGGGTCCTCGCGTTTGTGTAGAAGAAATATCATATATCCTTGGCGGCACCACTCTTGTCCGGCAACACGGAAAGCTCAAGTAATTGCCGTCACTTACTCGAAACAAGCGAAAACGCAAGTAAAAATTGTGATTTTTTCCAATTTTTTTAAGGGCTCCCTAGGGACCTATAAGTGGCTTTGGCAGTTGGGATTTACATTTTTCAAAATGGCAGTTCATGTCCTCTCTAAAATGCACATTTACGCGAATTCGAAGTTGTATGCTTTTGACGAGCAGCCGTGTTCCAGTCGCTTATTCAGATCTGTATCTAGCACGGAGAGGAAATTATGCTAAAAAACCTACTAAAAAACTAAAAAAAAATTTAACTACAAATTTAATACAAAAGCTTGAACTGTTCTATCCATAACTGCAGAACTCCACAGGCGAACAGCGATGGCCTACCAACTGTCATTTTGACGAGCAATGTGATTGCAAGTTTTTGTGTGTGGGCACTTTGATGTCTTGAAATAAGCATTTGCCGCATGACGCCACCAGACAACATTCTCTCAATTTCGGTGTTTAAAAACATTTAAATCTTTAAAAAACTAGCTAAATAATTTCCTAAAACGTAATCATAAATTATCCAATACGGAACAGATTTTTATTTTGATTTAATATCAAAATTTCATCGATGTTACCACCAGCACGCTTTCTTTCAAATGAAAATATGGCTGTCAAACTATCGAATTGCCTGCAATAGATGTCAAGCAATAAGCGCTGACATATATTGCAGCACATAAGAAATAGGCGGTCTCCATTGGAAATATATTTTGTGACATGGTTATCACGACATCAGTGTTTTCCTGTGGAGACAGGGCCTAACCAAAAATTTGCTTGAGTAATATAATAAGGGTATTCATCAAACCATATAAATGCATTGTAAACCGTATAAACTTATAATTGTGTAAACCTTATAAATGAACTGTCAAAATTTGTATGGAAACTCGTTTACACATTTCTGATAAATTTATCCAGCGATTTCACTGAATAAACTTGATAAACTGAAGACAATGCAACTCTGTCGCAACTCTAGCTATGTTTTCTTAGGCAATAATCGGGATCCGCATACAAATTTTGCACGCAAATTCAACAACGATATGATCCTGATAGAGATCCCGTCTGTTTGGTTTGTTTCACTGATAATTCGCAGAGTTTGGTAGCCGTGACAAATGAATTCATACACAAACAGACATTCTGCCATTGTTTCTTATAACTTGCTTCAAATAAATAGCCTTTATGTTATATGTACATTTATTTAAATAGATATCTCGTAAATATAATTTTTTCCAATTTAGTGAGGTAGTTTCTATAATTTCTTTATCCCCGTGCTAGTAGTATAAAGTTAGTGACACTGCGCTTTATAACCAAAGAAAACACGACTATTGTCGCATGTGTAAACGAAAAGAGAGTGTGGGTCGTTCATGTAACAGAGTGCATAAACTTATAAGATTATCTGCTTGATAAAGTTATCGGTTTAGATGAATACCACTAATAATTTGTCGGTGTTATCAATAAAAATTGCCTAAAGTAATTATGAAACTAAACAAACATAGTTGAGCACGAATTGGGCCAGATTTCTACCAGCAGAACATTGATGTTGGATTAGCGGGACTTTTTTTTATCAAAACAATGTAAAATAATAAATGAAATCTCCATCGCCGATCACTGAAACGCAGCAAGCAAAGCTTACGCGAAAAATCAATGCTGCCACTTCTCATTAAACCATGTTCGTATTGTGTTATTTTTCAGAGATCACAGGGTTGCTTTTAGCATTTAAATTCTTAATGCAAAAATGGAGTTGCAATTAGGTGACGAAATTTAAATAGATAAATGTACATTTAAAGTAGGATTTAGAGCTAAATGCGCTAAATATGCATTTACCCTTAAGCGAAAACAGCCCATAACTTAACTTGTACTGTGATAGCGGCTTTATATACCTGCGCTCGCACTCAAGGCTCGTTGTTCACTTCGAGTTGCCGCAGTATTCGCCACAATATTCAAATTTTCGATAGGAAACGTATCGAAATTAAGAAACAAATTATAATTTAAAACTTTAAACAATATAATGATAATAATATACAATTGTAATGCACTTTGGATGCAATATAAAAAAAATCGTTATAAAAACTGAATTGGCATATTTTCTCCGTGAAGAGGAATAAACTCCACTCAATTTCCCGATGTAATAAAAGTTGGTGAATTTTTTACCATTTGGTCCATTTTTTAGGTCCGAAAAATAAATTGGAAAAGGCAACCGTGCCCATGAGCTAGGTAAAACTACGCAGCGGTTTTAAACTACGCAGCGCCAGTGTGGTCGCCAGGGACTAGTAGGACGCAGTGGACGAAGCTACAGACTGTACAAAACACCGCACTCAGGACAGCGACGGGATGCCTCTTGATGTCGCCTGTACACCACCTGCACGGCGAGGCGCAAATGCTCCCTGTAAAGGAGCATAATAAAATGCTCTGCAAGCAGTTCCTGATCGGGAGCCACAGAAGTGGCCACCCAAGCAGACAGCTACTTGCAGAGGAGCCCTCGCCTAGGCACGTCAGGAGGCATCTATATGAACTGACGGACGAAGTCCAGAGGTTCATTAAGCAACCTCTGGAGCCGACAGCTTACAGACAGGCCCTGAACGGCATTCACAGGGACTCAGTCTCGAGTTATGTAGACTCTAGACCTGTGAATGCCGTTCTAGGCACACCACCCCCGGACATAGACGAGACGGAGCCTCATCTGCCTCGGGAGACACGCACAACACTTGCACAACTTCGCTCCGGCTACTGCAGCAGGTTGAACTCCTACTTGAGTAGGTTGAATGAGGATGTGCCGAATGAGTGTCCGGCATGCGGAGAGACCCCACATTACTCGAAACATCTCTTCGCATGCCCGGAAAACCCGACAACCCTAACGGCCTTGTCCCTGTGGACAAACCCCACAGAAGCTGCACGCTTCCTAGGGTTGCCTTTAGTGGAACTTGACGACAACGACTTAGATACCAACCGATCTGGGCGGGGTTGTTGTAGCCGCTACAACAACAACAACAACAACAGCTAGGTAAAATTCTGACGTTTGTATTCACCACGAAAAATGTCAAATTTTTACTTTGATCTGTCAAAATTTCCTCTTCTATTAATTGGCACAAGCCCTTACAATAAGGATTAGTAAGGAAAATGTGAAAGGACGGTGATTTTTATAGAAGTATTAGTGAATTTCAGTACATTATAGAACCCGCTAAAAAATCAACTCAACTCCCTTGTTCTTGCGTAATCTTGTGTCGTTCGTTCATGGGAAAGAGTCATGAACCAAAAATCACGAGTTTCATTTTCCCCGAACCGGTTCACTTAATTTTTGTTTTCCGTGTATTTACTATGGGCGGATTTAAAATTTTCAGGTGATTTTTTTCCGGGTGAATTTCAAGATACGGCAGAATAGCTTTTTGTTTTCTTTCCTTCTCGCGTGATATAGTGTCTTTCGTTTATGGGAAAGAGTAGCAGTAACAGCTGATTTTAGTGGTGTTTAATGAGCTGCTCTAGGTTACGCCAGGTTAAGATATCTCACAAAATTGTGTTTCATGAGGGTATTTCCCGCTTTAACTTACTCTCCTTTTTGTTTCATGAGCCTGCGCTAAGTGTAACTGGAGCCACTAAGAGCACAATTTTTTGCCCTAGCTTTTTTGATGCAATAACTTAGAGCACGATTTTTTGCCCCAGCTTTTTTGATGGAGTAACTTAGAACAATCAACTGTTTTGAGAATTTCTGCCTGAAAAGTGTTTCATGAGATTTCTGATCTGAGTTGCTTTAACTTGATCCATTTTTTTTCTCTGTTTTTTTCTTCGATTTCGATTTTATTAAACAGTACTTTTAAAAACGACACTGCCACTGCGCTCTTGTAGTTTGGGCTTTACGCAGAAATGCTTCAATGCAATGCCACCCTGCAGGACCGATTTTAGGAATGTCATACAAAGCATAAAAGCAAAAGAATTTCGGGAACAGTGGGTAAAGGAAAAAAAGTAAATTTAAGGTCTGCCGTTTAGTGAAAATTATAAAAATTGTTCAGAAAAGCGATATTATTTATAGAAATGTACTGTCAATAATGAGGCGTTTACCAGACGTGAAAGCAACAAAAAATTAAATATAGATTTCTCGGCACCATATGAAATGCCAAAATGTTGACGATGACACCATACGAATAAAGAAAACAATCCATTTTACGCGACGGTAAGTTCTATCATTACTTATCTCATACAAAGCAGAGGCTAGCGACAAAAACAGCGAACCAAATAGATTTAACCTAAAGTACAGTCGCTGACGCAGAGGGCGGACGCAGTAATTGTGCGGCAGTTTGCAACACGCCCGCCCACTAAGCACCTCAATACCGTAGCGATACAACGGAAACCACCAACACAACAGAACAACCACAATTAATAAGGCAACAATATTTAATATACCAAGCATTAATATTCAAACAACGCACATATTTACACATTGGATTTGAGGACGGTGACATTAGCCAGAGGAAGAGTGATAATAATAACAATCGTACAATAAGTAATTAACACCAAATATGGCTAGCATATCCGACCGGAAACGAAATACGTTTTTAAGTTACGTTGCACCCTCTCCGGGAGATGTAAGTACCATGAATTTGTAACACTAGAAATGGTTACGGGGCTTAAGGCGAACGAAAATCATTACTGGCAGGCCTATCACAGATTCCGAGTGAACTCCCGTCGTAAAAAAAATCTCCCGTCATGAGTTAGGGAGAATGGCTATCAGCAATTCCGACTTATTTGTAGTTACTGCTGCCTTTGGTTTTTGTTTTGGTTTAATAATTCTGAAGCAAAATAAAATAACGCGGAATCAGTGATACCAATCTCACGAATTTGGAATTTGCGGGAGTTTTTCGTGATCACGACGGAATTCATAATAGCAATTTCCCGACGTTGTCCGACGGAATAGATGATAGGCCTGTAGGTCTTGCATTGACATCACTTTTCCGTCAAAATCATAAATCCCGCTTAGTTATATATTTTTTCTATTTAATAGATTCCTAGACAAGAGGGCAGCGATGATTGGCTTCCAACAGAGCTGCGTGACCTTCATTTAGCTAAACCGCGTTTGTTACCCAATGAACTTGTTGTAGCATCAGCACCTGCATACCTTTTTTCTGCGATAATGCCTGCGCCTACTGAGGGCAGTGAACTCGATATGTCGCGACAGGCGGTATTTGGCTTGCTAAGTGTCACGAATTTTAAAATGGCATTTGTCCCCCTACAGCGCCAACAGCAAGAAACTCTTCCACAGGAATCATACCAGGAACACTTATATCTCCAACGCAACGATGTGACACTCAATAATATTGACTACGTATACCAGTTAGCGGAGGGTGGTAGAGTAAGCGTACGAGCACTCAGCGGCGGTAACAAACGCAAAAAACTCGACGCACAACAAAAAGTAATGAGTAGCCGCATCACAGCACTTCATATTATTTGCAAGAATTTTCGACTCCTCAAATTCGCCTTCCAGCAGTCGAGGTCTGGTTCTGATTATGGTAAACTTATTGCTTCGGCGCTGGCGCGATTCGCCTATCCATCACGCCATGATCTGAGTTTCGCATACTGTTACCGTGAGCCATATTATTCCATGTTGGGCAAATCCAGTGTGACCATGTACAGCACAAAAAACGATTGGGCACGAGAATTAATTCGATGTGGGGCCAATGAGTGGCAGGTTGTGAGTGCCGAAAATGTGCCCCAATTGCAAAATTTATTACAAGCACCAAAGTATACGCTGCCTCCTCACTTTGTCATCCCTAAATGCTGCACAGTTGACAGATTTCTAGACCTATCCCGAGCATTCTACGACTCACGGGCGGCTTTTTGGGTATTTGGTTATGGTAACGCATCGTTAGTCCGTTTGGCCGAATTGAAGCCTGCGATGCAGCAAGACACTAAAGTCGAGAACGTGACACTTGAGCTGGTAAGAAAATGTGATGAACGACGCACACTTAAACTGCTGCAGTTGACAGATCGTCTTCCTAGTATCCAAGATGTGCAAAGAGCATATCTGAAGTTTCGACGCCTATGTACGCCCGAAAGTCCGCAAGA